AAAGCGAAAGGCGTTAAAAACGCTCGCTTTCGCCGTTTTCAGACTCTTTGAGTGGATTTTCGGGATTAGCGCATTGGGTAACCCCAGGTAAGGCTGTCATAATGAGTCGGATGTTCTGGAGCTCTTCCCGCACAATTCTCGCACTGCGCTGGAACTGTTCTGGAACTGTGCTGCATGCGCTGCCGCCACCGGCGAAGTTTTCAGTGGCGGGAGTTGGAGATTTTTAACCGTTTTTAACCTTTTTCTCTTCAGTTTCCTCTCATTTTGGCCTCATTCCTCCACCTCGCTCCTCCATGTGACGAGAAAACCTGCGAACTTGAAGCGGGGTGGAGGATTGGGCTGCTCTGCTCCATGTATCCAGAAGATGGACTTTATGCGCTCGTCCATTCTCGCTTCGTTATTTTTATTCAAAATTACTTCATGTCAATACAGATGCGGAATTACACAGTGGCTTCCTGGAACACATGAGTAGTTTTGAATAAAGATCAACGAAGAAAGAATGGACGACCACAAAACACACGTATTGTCGGAACGCGGAGCAGAAAAGCGCTCATTCTTTAACCCCGCTTCAAGCGCGCAAGTCATCCCATCACCAGGAGAAGCGGGAAGGAGGAATGAGGCCAAAATGAGAGGAGAGTGAAAGAAAAAAGATTGAAAACCATTGGAAATCTACAACTCCCGCCGCTGAATTACCTCATGCGGGCGGATGCAGCGCATGCAACAGCTCCGGGACAGTTCCAGCACAGTGTGAGAACTGTGCAGGAACAGGAACAGTGTGAGAACTGTGCAGGAACATCCGACTCAGTATGAATCCAGCCTAAGCGAAAACATGACAGGGTTGAAATTTGCCGAGCCCCTTTAACGATCATATCAACTAGATAAAGTAATGCTTTTTGGCAGTTCCTTATTCTTACAACTAGAGTCTTACTGTGAGATGCAAAAGTTCTAGCTGCTGCAGCAACCTTTAGTATCTTTGTCCGGCGGAGCTTACATGGATTTTGACTATCGTTGGAAATTGAGTGAAAAGGCGTTATAACGCATTTCCAGCTAACATTTAAATCCTCAAACTTGCATCTTATGTCGAATACAGATCTTAGGTTCGTCGCAGTACAGTCATAAGCTTGTTTTAACGACGAAACCTCAACATTGAGCAGCTAATTTCAGCGTAGCCGAAGAAGATGTCAATCGCATGATGGAAGATGTCATTGGTCCTCTGCTCGATCTGAACTTGGATCTTTATGAGATTTCATACATTCTAAACGCCCTTGTATGGCATATCGAAGGTGAAAGGACAATCTACCCCTGCATCGAATCACATTGTACATACTCTGAGCATCGGCGCCATGACTCAAATACTTGTCAACTGCGATGACTTTGCGCCACCATGGCCCTTAAAAATGAATTTTTAGAGCGAAAGGTGCTGGAATCTACTAGCAATACAGCTGAAGAGGTGTTAGACCAGATAGCAGATGAACTACACGAGCACTACACCTGTGATCTCAGAATGACAAACTACGCAGCACGACTCAATCATATTCTAAGTTTGATATGGGCTATAGAAGTGAGTCTTAAGTCATGCTAATGACATTCCTTGATAGTGTGCCAGTTTCCAGAAATACCAGCAGGTACTCTTGATGATTTGTGGCATGATGGGAGCAGGCATAAAGCAGGAAATACTGTAACAGAACGGCAAGAAAGTTGAATTCTGTCGATAATGTCTCTATCCTGTGTCCTTTATAATATACGATCACGACTTGGGGTCAAATTGGCGACTGTAAAGTACAACAGCAATTTGTATCTCCTGGCACGATGTGAAATCTCGAGATGCATAAACGTTGTTTCTCAAGCAATGTTGTTCAATTGCAAGGAAAAGTGGAAAAGATAAACTGATGAAGCTCTAATATAATAACTTTCGTTATTTTCATTTTAGGTGAACCTATCCCAGGATCGAAGAGATGGAAGCATCTAAAAGAACGGATTTTTCTCCCCCGAGCCATATTTTCGCACCTAGGTAGTATATGTGCCAGGCATGGTGAGATTCATTTTGATTACGAGCTCCGCAGGAGAGTACAGAAAACTCACTTATTATTAAGGTGCCTTCATACCGCACCGGCGGCTGCTGCTAGCAGTCCATAGCAGTCGCCAGTAGCCGCCGCTGGCTGCCTTTGTTATCATAGGGGCGCCAAAGCATCAGTTCTTCAATATGCTGCTGCGTCCTTCTACGCGTTTCATCATTCATGCTTTTTCCTTCTTGATGCCGCTAGCGAATTCCGGCGAGACCATCCTGGTGGACAGTAGTGAAGTGCTTTTTTTTATATCCTTACGAGCTGGCATCCCGGGTTCCATCCGTGGCTTCGCTTCCTACTGTTCTTACCATATCTCGAGCGCATAACCTGCGCATGTTCCGTCAGAATTAAGCTCTTATTTAAAAGCGCATCGCCCTCACATCGCATCGTGTACCGAGCCTGGGAAGCTGCTGTTGATGTAGAGAATATGCTTGCATGTCTCAAGGGAATTCTCGAGTAATACTAGAGTTCCGTTGATGCAATCAATTACACATTTATAGTCTTTCTCTAACTCACTGAAAGGGTCCACTACTAATGAATTTTCCGAATTCGCTAGCCCCATTCCTGCACCAAGCAATATCTCACGGCTTACAAACAAACTGCGACACCATTTCTGGATGGTGTAGCACCATAACCACCTAGTGCACCACATTCGAAATGGTTCTGGCGGCATCTCAAAGTCTCACTAACAATTTGGTGCGACGTCGCAAGATATCTCACACCTATTGCCGCCTCAATAAACTTTGCTCAAAAAAGTGCCGCAAAAAGTTGCCACTCTTGAAGAACAAACCAGATCTTACCTACTGCTTTTTGAGAAAGCTCAAGATCTCCTACTGTCATATGCTATTTTCGATGATAAAATCTTCGTGAGCCATAACAGCTCCCTTACTTGCTCCTTATTACTTGAAAAGATCCTCACACGGATCATTGCAAACATGTTCAATGTTTCTAAGGCGCCTACGGGGTGCAGCATCAGACGTTACATCTGTAATATGTTTAAAGCGATACTTCCTAACAACGCATGCTACATCTGATACGCACCACTAATTCCTGACGACATATCGCTAAGATAAACTTTACCGAATGAGAAGATCTCAGCAATCGGGAAGAAGTTCATTCGGTAGTTCACTATTGGAAAAGTTTAGTGCTGCTCAATAAGGAATAAGCATTATGGAAAGATGAAAAGCTGCACACCGAATAACAAATCTGGTAAAGTGCAATGTTTGGGACAAGCATGAGAATGATTGGTTCGTCTTCTCCAATGACTTTGCTTTGCAAGAGAATCCATTTCATTGTTTCCGACTGGTTTCTTCGTGGTTTCGTTAAAAATGATCTGCAGCTTTTGTGAGCTACTGCCATGAAAACTCAATCAACATGATGATTTCAAACAAAACACTACCTCCTGGAATGATATCCACGCATGTCCCCGCGAAATGGGCTTTTCGTGCGAATAAAATGGACT